TCGACGTGTCTCGATGGACAGGTGGAGAAGAGGACGCCAGCTCCGCCGGCGGCTGCATCACCAGAGGCGACGCCGCCGCCGCTGTTGCCGCATTTGGCGGCACTCGAATGACAAGTGGGAAGGAAGTGACTCGACGTGTCTCGATGGACAGGTGGAGAAGAGGACGACAGCTCCGCCGGCGGCTGCATCACCAGAGGCGACGCCGCCGCCGCTGTTGCCGCATTTGGCGGCACTCGAATGACAAGTGGGAAGGAAGTGACTCGACGTGTCTCGATGGACAGGTGGAGAAGAGGACGCCAGCTCCGCCGGCGGCTGCATCACCAGAGGCGACGCCGCCGCCGCTGTTGCCGCATTTGGCGGCACTCGAATGACAAGTGGGAAGGAAGTGACTCGACGTGTCTCGATGGACAGGTGGAGAAGAGGACGCCAGCTCCGCCGGCGGCTGCATCAGCAGAGGCGACGCCGCCGCCGCTGTTGCCGCATTTGGCGGCACTCGAATGACAAGTGGGAAGGAAGTGACTCGACGTGTCTCGATGGACAGGTGGAGAAGAGGACGCCAGCTCCGCCGGCGGCTGCATCACCAGAGGCGACGCCGCCGCCGCTGTTGCCGCATTTGGCGGCACTCGAATGACAAGTGGGAAGGAAGTGACTCGACGTGTCTCGATGGACAGGTGGAGAAGAGGACGCCAGCTCCGCCGGCGGCTGCATCAGCAGAGGCGACGCCGCCGCCGCTGTTGCCGCATTTGGCGGCACTCGAATGACAAGTGGGAAGGAAGTGACTCGAAGTGACTCGATGGACAGGTGGAGAAGAGGACGCCAGCTCCGCCGGCGGCTGCATCACCAGAGGCGACGCCGCCGCCGTTGTTGCCGCATTTGGCGGCACTCGAATGACAAGTGGGAAGGAAGTGACTCGACGTGTCTCGATGGACAGGTGGAGAAGAGGACGCCAGCTCCGCCGGCGGCTGCATCAGCAGAAGCGACGCCGCCGCCGTTGTTGGGCATTTGG